GGGGTTGCCAGCTTTTGTAATGTCCAGTTTTCTTGAAACGTTGATTGTATGGCTTCTGCAGATCGCTGGAATAAGAATTTTCATGTCTTTGCCCCCATTGATTCACCTATATATCCTTTTTTTTCCTTTTTACAGAGCAATTTTATAATTGTTGTTGTAAAAGTTGTGGAAAGTTTTAGTTGGATTAAGTTCAGAAGCATTTTTTATGAATTTATTGAACTTTTAATTAACTACTAAATTAGTTTTTATATGACTAATTATAAAGTAATTATGATCATAATAAAATCTCAACATATGTTTTTCATTTTTATTAAATTCTCAATGGTTTGATCGTTTGGTTTTGTAATTATATTTTAGGTGATGGATTAAGTAAAAATAAATGTCTAGTTGTTTAAAAACTTATTATTATTATAGTTTTGAAGATTTTTTAAATTATTATAATATGATAAATTATTATTTTTAAATTCTTTTAATTGTTGTCATGTGTGAGCACGCATACTTATTATAATATTAATGATAAAATTGTATTATTTAATTTAAAAAAGGGTCATTTACATCAGTGCCGCCCAATTTTTATGATTTTATATATCAAACACCTAAACTCAGTTTTTTATACTTGCACAACCGAAAGTTTTTATATTTCATAAAAAAATTTTTATTATTTAAACTTTTAAAAATTGGAATATACATATTGATGAGTCTTTAAAAATTATTTTAATTATGTATAAATCTCGGAGATATCGAATGATAGATGTTTATGATTCAAATTCATGATGTAGGATCTTGATTCCAGCATGTTTATGGTCGAACCGTTCGTCTCAACAAAGAAAGCCCTAAGAATTGGTTTAATTTGAGTATGAAGTTCAAACAAAGTCATTGAAGCACAATTGGAGGTTTTAGATGAGCAATTAAGCGATCAAGTGTATTTTAAATTTGACAAGTTATTGTAAAATAGTCTTTCATCGAGTTGAATGCAATGAGCTTATGATCACTTAATTTGACTTCATTAAGACACTGAAATACTCATAAAACACCATTTGATAAATGAGATAGTTTTGAGTTGTCCAATAGAGTGATCTAGATTCATGTGGTATTTATAGAAAATGTCACAAAAAATCTATTAATAGACCCCACAACCTTTGTGAAAGGAAAATTGGGACCTCGACCTGAAACATATGACTAAAGGAGCTCCAATCTCTTTTGGGTTCTTGAGCTCCATCACAATCAACTAGCCGTCGTTGCTGTCAGACCATCGACATCGAGTCGTCGCCGCCAGACCATGTTGTTTGGCAACCGCCGCCAGCCCAAGTTTCTTGGTCACCGCTGCCAACGTCAGACCATCGTCGTCATTGTTAGACCACCATCATTTGGATGTCTCCACTTCCGGATCATCGTCGCCACCATTGGACCACAATTGTTCGGCCACCACCGCTAGACCATCATCACCGCTCCTCAACCATTGCAATCTCTAGACCACCGTTGTCCGACCACCACCATCGTATCACCGTCGTTACCAAAATAACTACCACCACCCGACTGCCACTACTGCTAGGCCACCGCTGCCTCGATCTCCATCTTGGTTGACGCTGAACCACTGCGGTTATCGTCAGACCACAACCGTAGCAGTCGTCGGATCTCTGCTACCTGACCATCACCGTCAATGCCTATCACTGATGCTGACATCATTTTTTTGGTACTTGGCCTCTATCATTGGCTTCTCTTCATAGTAGTCGGGTCATACAACACCCTCAACATTTTCTACCACTTCCTCAGTGAAATTTGCATCCTGATCATATAATCTTGCCTATGACAATTTAAGGGCCGGTAAAGTTTTGTAGCCTACATAAGTAAAGTGGAATCATTTCAACTGGGTCATACCTCCTGGTTTTTGCCCGTTCGGATTTTCCACGTAAAAACCTGTGTTGTCTTTCCTATTAGTTTTCTTTATCTGTGTGTACGGGATATTTATATAACACTAAGACGTTAATTAAATCACTCTAATGCTTTTAATTTACTAGTGCACCGTCAACACATTTTCATTATCCAACACAAATCTCGAGGTATGACATGGATCTCAAGGTAATCTTTTGTGCAAAAAACATTCATACTTCAATTCAGAGTCAACCAGAGCTCCGATTTCAACTAACCTACACTCAAATTGTTCGGCTCTACGAGATAAACTCAATGATATCAAAATTGGTCAAATTCGAGCCAAATCAAGCTCAGATCAAGCCATTAAACAGCTTTTGAAAGTTTTCTGGACACATTTGAAAGGTCAAACGGATGTCAAATCAGGCGAGTCTATAGTTGATTTAAGCTTCTCGACAAGACGAATCCAATGGGCTCAAGATCACTCAATTATGACACCGTTAAGACTCTCAAATGTCCATCAAATGTCATCCGATCAAAGTGGTTCATATTTCTGCATTAATTGCACCTGAAACTCTATAAATAGAGCTCCACCCCTCTCATGAGAAATGGAGGAAAACTTGAAGCTTGAGGAAGAGCTTGAAGCTTTGAGAATGAGCTGAAGTCCAACACCACTACTACTATCATCGATCACCGCCGTCCACTATCAACCCCCACTTGTTGGTCACATTCATCGCCATCAATCGTTGCTCATTCCTTGTAACAAGTTCATCCACACGTCAACGTTGTAATTCAGTACTTTACAATCCTTTCCAGCCTGTGGGATAGTGTTTCTGTAATCATCAACTTATAGTGTATTTTTACAACTGGGCTAGACCCCATGATTTTTTCCTTTTACGAGCTTTCCACGTAAAACTTCTGGTGTCACTACTAGTTGTTTTCTTTTATCAAAATGTGTGATAAATTCTTATACAACACTAAGACCATAATCCATTACTCTAACACCACAAGTTTTCCTGCACACATCAATATATATATATATATATCTATTATTTGAGTTTCTTAATGCATAAATCTAATATTCAAGTATAATAATTGAGAGAGATTAAACGTCCATGATTTTTTTTTTTAAGTTTTGAAAGTACATTTTTTTAAGTCTAAATTAAATAACTCTAAAATTCTAAAATGTTTCGAGTAATAGTAAATCAATTGACAAAAATAAAACCCAATTAGCAACTTTATTCATTTAAAATATAATTATTTGAACCATTGAATAATAGGGTTGTTTTTTGCAAGATCTAAGTATTACGAGTCTTTTGATTAATTTATATAATGATATTACAATAGAAAAACATCAAATAATACTTAAAAATAAAAATTATATATTTATTATTTTAAATTTAATACTACATCATCAACATTTTTTTTTTCAAATTTTCAAGATTTATGATTAAAATTTAAATCGGATATTTTTATGTTAGTTTTTAAAAAAATTATATTTTCATAAAGTTTTTATTTATGTTATAAATACATTGATTATAAATTAAAGGTTTCTTTGAGACAGTTTTCTATATGTTTTACTTTTCATATTGCCGCCACTGTTCTATTTGATGAATTATTTTTTAACTATTTTTTAGAAATTTCTATGATAGAAAATTGTTTTTTTAGTATGAGTTGTTAAAATGTGGTTATTGTTAGAAAAGTGCAATCCGACCTTTTGAAAATAAAACTAATTTTTAATAGCTACAGTTGTTTTTTGAAAAACAAATTTTTCTGCAACAGCTTTACGACTAATTTTTCAAACAGTTGCATCTGCCTCAAATAAGCCCTGCAACTGTTGAAGAAACAGTCGTTTGCAAAAAAAAAAAAAAATTAGAAAGCTACGGTGACTATTACAAGTTTATTTTATTTCAAAAAATCAAACACGTAGCCTTTTGGCAGCTACCGCACTAAGAACTCGTGTTAAAAAAACAACTTTCTACCGCAAATTTTTCAAAAACAACAAGCAATTCTAAAAATAGAGCATAACGGTCTGAAAAACAAAGCAAACAAAAAGCCGTCTCAAATAGACTCTAAAAAGCTTGATAGTTCTCGCTTTTATCTTAATTAAAAAAAATTATTCCCAGGAAATGAAAAATATCAAAAAAAAATAATGAAATCAATTTAAAAATAAAAGCTTTTCTTGATTTAGAGTTCAGAATTCCTTTTCGGCCTCCTAATATATCTATACTTCATAAGATAGAATTTTAAAATGTGTTGTAAAACTTGTAGAAAAATACTACTGTAGTTAAAGTCTGGTTTTTTAAATGATATAAACAATAGTTCATAAAAAAAAAATAGACTAACCTTCTGCATTACAATTCTACATTACAATCCTACTTTACAATTGAAATGTAGCATTACAATCACAATTAATAAATTAGACAGAAGGTTCTCAAGAATGAATCTACTCAAGCACTCACTAGCTCTGCTTCCAGCAACATTTATCCAGAATCCTGCCAAATCCTATGCACCATGCCTTCTAATGAATACTTGCACTCATTTAACAAATAAAGTTTTTGTCGGGGCATACTGGGAAACCTACACTATAAACTCAAAGTTTGCCTAACACTTCAACTTTGCTTTTTTAAATTTATACCTATCACCATTTTAATGTTTTAAAAGTGAAACACCCTTTTTAATTCATGCATGGGTATATTGGTATGCATGTAAAAATTGAAATTTAGATGTTAGATACATGAATACATAGGAATTGTTGCATGTAAAAATTGAAATTTAGATGTTAGATACATAGGAATTGCTTGTGTGGTATGCATGCGAGCTCTACTCAACGAACAATTGCTCCTCTGCTACATTATATTGCTGCATCATATTACATGCCCCAAGCTTCGAAATCAATGTTGCAACATGCAAGCTCACCGAGTTTGTTATTCCATTCCTCGTGATGTCACAGATTATGTCGTTTGCAAGGCCATCATCATCATAGAGCTACAAGCTACATGATTTGAAGCCACCACTAAGCAATTCAAGGACTATTTTTCTTGCTAATGCATCTTGTTGCATGTTCACAAAACTTCATGAACGAGAAGAGTTGCTTCGCTGCGTCTCTCATACCGTCATCGAAGTATTCATTTTCCTATTTTTCTTGCTAATGCATCTTGTTGCATGTTCATAAAACTTCATGAACGAGAAGAGCTGCTTCGCTGCGTCTCTTATACCGTCATTGAAGTATACATTTTTCACCTCACCTTGCGCTTTGTTAAGTGCTATATGAGATTAAAGATGATCCTAACAACTCTTTCGAAGCCCATGAATGACTTTTCTTCAATTCTCCATCAATACTTCTACATTCACTAAGTGGCCGTTTGGATCACTTTGATTTTTTTGATATTTTATTCTATTTTATTGATATTTTTATTTAAAATAAAATATATTTAATGTATTATAATAACTTTTAAATATTTTAAAAAATAAGTTAACTTTTTAAATAAAAAATTAAAAATACACAAAGGCACTAACAAACATATTATTGAAATAAAAGAAAAAAATAAAAGTGATCTCAAACTAGTCCTAAAAGATTAAGTGACTCCATTAACACATTTATTTCATCCCATCTGAAGTAATAACTCCTATTCACTCCTCACACGTGCATTTGATGTTAGCTACCGTCCACTAATTGCTATATTTTGTCGCTTCATTGCTTTCCTCTCAACACTATTGAGATCCCTAAACACTCTACAACACACATGCTGTACTGAGGTTTTGTGAATACAGGAAAATTCCTAATCAACAAATTTTCTCTTCGGCACTAATCTCAATCTCAACCATTTGGACAAGACACAAATTCATCTCAGTAGACTCTACATTGCAAAAGTAGAACTAAAAAGTAAAATAATTAGATGGAGACAATAATGATTCCATGACTCCATTTAAAATATATTACCATCATATTTTCTAATACATATCTTCATATCGTACGGTAGATTCATGGGTTTAATAACCAGCAATTAAAAGCCTGATGGAGCCATGGAAATCATGCATGCGAACTATGTAGTGTACTGCACCAATACACTGCTTTATAACATGGCTAAAATACTGTATAGCATACATGGCACATACCTACCTAAATCCTGAAGGAGCTGCTTGAGGACTACCTCCAGCTCCTCTTCGCATGGCTTTCGATTGTGCCAAAAGCATATCATAATCCTGTTCACAAAATTAAGGAAAAAAAAAATCATTATTAGAACTAATTCATCCCCTCGGCCATTTGCAGGCAGCATTCATATTCATTAAGAAAACTTTATACCCGTTTCTCAAATGCAGAGTCTCTCGAATCTATTATTTTGTCTGCAATTCCATATTCAATGGCTTCTAGTGCTTGAAAATATTTTGGGCGTTGAATGTCTTTCGCAATCTCTTCCTTTGGTTTTCCAATTCCTTTAGATAATAGCTCAATGTAGTAGTCTGTGTTTGAATCCAGCTCTTTAGCCTGGGTTGCATTCAATGTTCGATTCGTTAAATATTGGGGGAAGAAGGCAGAAGACACAAAAATAAAACAAATAAATAAATAATTAATTAATTAATAATAAAGGTGACTTAGAGTCCACCTTAATCCACATGTCAATGACAGCTCCACTAGATTTGTTAACCTTTGGAAGATATAATTTAGCTGCAAAGGAGAACATTGTCCACATAATAGTTCAAATGAAATAACAAGGGTAAAATGCCAAAATAGTCCCCTGATGCTTTACAAGTGCCCATTTTAGTCTCAGAGTCTAAAAAAAATCAAATTAATTCATTGAAGCTTTTAATATGCTGAAATATTCCTCAAAGAGGACTATTTTAGCTTTTATTAAAAAAATCTGGGAATCAAATTGACACTATTATAGACACTGGGACTAAAATGAACCCTTGTAAAGGTTTATGAGGTGATTTTGACACTTTTCTCGAATAATAGTGACAATATGTAAGGAAGGAACATACTGGATGAATTGGGCTGCAGAGCTCGAAATCCTTTGGAACCGAGAGACAGGAGCATTGCCGCCTGGCCATATGCCATGCCACAGTTGACGGTATATACTTTGGATTTGCAGTACTGCAAGCAGGAATTAGCATGGTTGAGTTCATTGAAACTCGCACTTTCTATCTTGATGAATCATGGCTGCTATATGATGATATTGATATTTCATGAACAAGTTGTTAGTTTGGAAAAACTAATACTAGCATTTTCATACTGGGAACATCCATTTATGACAATAGAAAACATTCTTAACACTATATATGTTTTGGAAGCATTAGCAAAATGGAAGCTGATGCTGGAAATGGGGTGGGTGCATGGGTCATTTCTGTCAAATCGAGAGCATTTGAGGAAGGATTTGGCAAGAGGAAATGATGAGATGGAGAGAATAGAAAGCTGGAAAGAGAAGGGAAGGACAGTTTGGGAGAGATCGAGAGATTTGAGAATGTTGTTAGATTATAGAGGAGAGAGGTGAGCTATGAGAGAGGGATCTAGAGATTGATCAAAGAAGATAACATAAAGGTAGGGGATTTAGAGAGAAAACTGGTTGGTGACCACTGTATATAAGCAAAGACCCAAATTGATAGAATGCTATGAAGATAGTCAAAGAACACGACCCCGAGTGAGTTTCATTTAAAGAGTTATGATTATAATCAAATTGATGCAATTATGACTAGTTTAGCTAAATTGATCACACTAGTGCATTCTGAGCGTTGAGATTTCTTAAAATGGGCGTCCTCAACCAATTCAATCAAATTTGAATGACAAATATGATATGCAAATCAGAGCCAAAGTAACATAATGACCGTCAAACTCAATAAAATGTCCTTTTGTAAAAAGGATAATGCTGATGACTTTTGAGTATCAAAAGTCTATCATAAGAGACATTTTGCTACCTAGTCGATCGAAATGATGAAAAAGATGATTCATTAGCATGTGTCATGCAGATCAGATCCCAATTGCCTTGACAACATGAGTCGTTCATGGTGTCAAAGCTACCCAGAAAGTACACACATATTGTCTAATTCTCACTAGTAAACAACTGACACCAGATTTCCAGTGAAATGATTTTAAAAGCACTAGAAATGAGGAAACACAAGGGAAAACAATATACATAAATTATATATTTATATATATATATATATATATATATATATATAGATATATGATGCATGATAGAAAATTCACGGTGATAGAGCAACAGATCATCGTCGTATGATGATTCAACACAAATTCGGATAAAAAAAAAGAAGGGAAGAAACTTCAGAAGTTCTTCCGTGGAAAACCCGGAAAGAGAAAAAACTACAGGGTTTGACCCAGTTGAAGAGATCCACTAGAAATTGGTGATTATAGTTACAACCCCTTATACCACAGGTGAGAAAGGGTTACACAGTCTCATGAGTTACAACGATGGCGCACAGATGAACTTGTCGTCAAAAGTGGGTGGTGACCAATGGTGATCGATGGCAGCCGACAAGTGGTGGTCAGCGGCGGTCGGCAACTAGTCGTCGATGGATCGTCGGTATAGAAATGATGCTGGACTTCAACTATTTCTCTAAGCTCCACTCTTCTTCATGCTTAAAGCTCTCTCTCTTCCAAGAGAGAGTTAGACTTCTATTTATAAAGTCTCAGTTACAATTAATGAAGAAATATGAACTGTTTTAAACAGACGGACCATAGGGATTCCCTCGATTGGACAACATTTTATGGAAATTTGAGTGTCTTAACGATATTGGAATTAAGCGATCTTGGGCTTCATGGATTCATCTTGTCGAGATGTTCGATTCGACTATAAGCTCACTAGATTCAGCAATCTTTTGACCTTTATTTGGTTTGGATTGGAGATGTTCGATTCGACTATAAGCTCACTAGATTCAACAATCTTTTGACCTTTAACCAATTTTGGTGTCATTTGGTTCGTCTCGTCGAGCTGATCAATTTGACTGTAACTTTGCTGAACTTAGAGCTCTGGATAAATTTTAATTGAATTTTGAATATTTTTATTCAAAAAGTTGTCTTAAGATCCATGTCATGTCTCGAGATTTGTGTCAGATGACAAGAATTTGTTGATGGCATATCAATATATATATATATATATATTAGAAAAAATTCAAACCTAATCTAAACCATACACCACATCTCTTGTTGCCTCGCCCCCATCATTATTGTTTTGTGTTGTTGCCGAATTGTGAGGAGAACAAAAAAAGAAAGTAAAAAATCTATCAGCTAATATTATCTACAAACAATAAACCTCTTTTCCTCATTCTCTCTCTTACAAGCCATAGCCACATCTCCTTGAACCTTCTCCATTACTCATCTCGCACCAAACTTCCTAGCCGAACTCCTCTGCTGCTTGAGGCAAAAACCAGCCACAGCCCCTTAGTTGCTGGTAAGACATAGAGCACCTCATCTTCTTCACACCCCAACAAATGCAGCCTCCTCACCGTCTCCCTCTCCTACCCAAAGCAAAGTGAACACTAATCTGCACTGGCTGCCTTCTCTCCCTCTCAGCACAACCAGCAGCTTCTGCTACTCCTCCCTCCCCATCTCTCGTCCAATCCTAGCTCACCACTGCTATGCACGCATACTCTTCACCACTCCCCGCAGTAACCTTAAGAAGAACCAGGCTAATCGAACCCAGAACACATTGTCTATGCGCGCACCTTTGTAGAGTGTGTTTCACCTTAGAATTGACAAGGAGATCTCGTATTTAATTTTGAATTTAAAAGCGTAGTCTTCTCCCAAACCCATAAGTTCTCGTCTCCAGTAACCTCCATTTCGCTTTCACAAACCGGATTACACCTCCTGCAGCACCGGATGATGTCACAACCACCTGATGTTGTGTCCTTTAAACTCCCAAGCTCCTGTCTCCCGCAAGGTCCTAACTCCCATCTCACTCAAGAGTCGGACAATGCCTCCTGCAACACCTGCCAAAGCTGCCGACGCCTCCTGATCTTCTTGTCATGGCACCATCACAACCACCTGTTGTTATTTGGTTTGAACTCGCACACTCCGTCTTAGTTTTTTGTTTGTTGATTCGGTGCCACTTTCCAAATTTATTTTCATTAAATAATTAAATTTTGAAAGATTTGCTGGCAATTGGCATAACTACGAGGGCGCCGCGCAGTTCGCCACCACCTTTTACAAAGTTTGTTTAACCCGTTTCTTCCGCATTTTATACGACACGACGCGTCATAAGTTTGCTTTAATGTCGCAATCCATAAGCTATGTTCACCATTTTTTGTTTATGTTATTAATCCTTCACCCTCACTCGAAGCCCTCTCCCCCACTTCCATCTCTCTAATTAAGCCCTGCCTTAACTTCTCGAGCTGCTCTGTGTGCAAAGACAAGGGATCCCAAAAGATGTATCTTCAATCTTCATTCTTCCCTCTTTGCTCTGGTCTCTACCCTAATTTTCGTAGGTTAGTTTCTGCCGATTTTTTCAATTGCCGATGATGATCCCTGGTCAGTTACATACATGTGTTTGCCCTCACTTCTACAAGTTCATATTTACGAGTTTGAATCTCTACCATTTTTTTTTGTTATTCTCTGTGGGATTTCGATCTCTTTGCGCGTCTATGTTAGTATTTCTTCAATGGGGATTTTAATATCTCTGTATTTTAGTACAAGGGGAAATTTTTTTATGTGGGGATTTGAAGTGGAAAGATATTTTGTTGTTCTTTGTGGGGGTTGGATCTCTCTATACTCACTTTCTGTGGGAATTTCATGGTAGTTCTGCTCCTGCGTATTTTGATATCTTTGTCTTTCGATTTCGATCTTTAGAAAAATTTATGTTGAGACATGATTTACATTCAAGAGCACGTTCTTATATGCACATTTTGAGTAATATATAGGGATCTACATACAAACCGAGCACACAATACTTATGTGTTTACATTACTGCCAATCATATATTAATATGGAAGTTCAGAGATCGATGCTAGCTATATTCATGCATATTTACAGTTGAGGCATGATTTCCCTATGTTGCTTATGTGGTAATAGTGTCATTTTGATGTGGTATTACCAATTTGAACGTTTTGTGCTTAAATTTGAAAGTTTTGATGTGAAATGTTTAAATTCATTAGAATTGTGTGTTATGTATGTAAATAAAGCTTGTTGGATGATTGAATTATGTTGGGTTGTTGTATGGTAGTTGGATATGTAACATTGGTGTATGCTAGTTGGATATGCGGAGATGGTGTATGCTAGTTGGATGAGATTTTGCTAACTGTTGAATAGCACTTAATGGAAGAATCACCTCTGGAGCACAGTTCTGAAATGTTTTGGGATATTTACATAGCTTGCACACTATTATTCTAAAAGGTATGTTTAAGGAAATTAACAAACCTAGCAGACAATTCTTACGTGTTTATATTCATGGCAGCTATATGCATAAGAGTGAAAGTTTAGAGGAGGATGGTATCTACATTGTTAGCTTCTTAAGCCATGTCTTGAGATGAGACATCACCTCCCAGATTTTGAATGAGCTAACCTAGTAGTTCGAGGGAGAAAAGAAATATTTAACTCGCGACATTCTTCTTTACACGGTTTTATTGAGAGAATATTTTGTGTTTAAAAAAAAAAGTGACTATACTTGGAGAAATGCTTGCATATCCATTGAAGCAGCAGGTAAAAATTGTGGCTAAAACAATGACTCTACATAATAATATTTGTTTTCATCCTGCAATACCTAACATTAGTTTTAATATTATTGAAGAAAATTAATCGACTATTCCTCCTGAAGCATATGAGTATCGCTTCAAGGAGTCAATATTACCAAATGATTCAGATATAAGTTACTCTTACAGGCAGAATGGAGAGGGAATTGAAGATATGTTTAGTTCAAGAGCATATTAAAAATACAATAGTTAATGAGTGATAATTGTATGCTAACATATAAAGACATGATTAATCTATTTATGTTAACTTTTTTTTCAATGATATATCTGCAGAACGTTTCATAATTTTGTTGTGTTTTTTTTTTCTTTTTATTAGCATGTTGTATTTTATTCCACTTGGCATCCTAGACAACCGTGGACATGATATAATTTTTTTTTCTTGGATGTTTTTTGGTT